TGTGTGTGTGTGTGTGTCTGTGTGTGTGTGTGTGAGAGTGAGTGAGAGTGTGTCTGTGTGTGTGTGTGTCCGTGTGTGTATGTGTGTGTGTGTGTCTGTGTCCGTGTGTGTGTCTGTGTGTGTGTCTGTGTCCGTGTCCGTGTCCGTGTCCGTGTGTGTGTGTGTGTGTGTCTGTGTGTGTGCGTGTGCGTGTCTGTGTGCATACAGAATTAAGTTTTTTGAAAATCTAAAAATGCAGAAAGTCTCCTGTGAGGGGTAGGTTTAGGGTTAGGGTTGGTGTAGGGCAATAGAATATACGGTCTGTACAGTATAAAAACCATTACACCTATGGAGAGTCCCCACAAGGATAGCTGACCAGACGTGTGTGTGTGTGTGTGTCTTTATTTTAAAGAGGATTTGTTGTAGAAGCACCTTTGGAATTAAAATGAAATGTGGACTGGTTTTCTTGTGTCTAGAGTACAACGACTTGAAACACGGGCTGCGTGAGTTTCTTCAACAATCTGCAAACCAGAGAAAGGTGAAGATGAGCAGCTGCTATGTCAGTCACTGAGAAGAATAAGAAGTGGACTCTGTTCTAATGGATGTAGTTTGTTTATAGGACGTGACTCCTGAGGCTTTCCATGAGTTTTTGGAGGAGTTGCAAACAAGAAAGAAGAGGCGGTTGAACTGAACCCATCTACATCACAGAGAGTATTATGGGACTGCACATCCTTTGGCTGGATCCACTTTAATAAAGTCTCAGAGCAAAAACACTGATGCTAGTGTGCAGACCTTTTAATTCTTTCATTATTATTGCTTTTAAATGAAGTGCTTTGGCTCAGAATCTCTAGTCTTCCTCCGTTAATTCTCAGTAGGGCTTGTAACTCGCCGTCAGTCCAGCCGATGAAGCACTTCTCCGTGTTTGATGCGATCAGGTTAGCAGTGCTGATGTAACAGCTCAACAGCACTGGGGTTTGTTCCACACTGTAGCTGTGTCCCAATTCAAAGACCGCATCCTTCGGAGGACGCTCCGAGTCTAGCCTTCCCATCAATGCTGCTGTCGCGGGGCAACGGTGCGAGAGAGACCTGCCATATATGTTATTACTTAATGAAAACCAAAATAACTGGAGCCTGAATTGTTTTAATCACCGAATTACACTTTAAATGTAAGACTTACTTTAATATTGTAATGACGTGAAAAAATACAAAATATAAAGCGATTAAATGTCGACTTATAGCTTACCAAAATGTGATTTTATGTTGTTTATTCTATTATTGATTATGTACATAAATGGGCCATGGTGAACATATTTAAACAGTTTTTCAACCCTGTTTAGTTTTATGCAGCTGAATATAAAGAGTTCACTTACACACGTCTACGGCAGCTGACACAGTTGCTAGGCAACAAGAAGTGTCCTCCGTAGGCTACACCGGTCCGAGTGCTTCGGAAGCAGCCTTGATATGCTTCGCAGTTGTAGCAACTTAGCAATAAACTTTATTCGTTTAACATTATTCCTTGAACATATTCAGAAGTAAAATGCAACATACAGTACACTGTAGTGCAGCTGTAATACTAATGCAAGACCATCATATATAGTTGTTTCTGCATAATACATAGACTACTTTTTCTCTTCATAGCTTAAGTACATTACAGTATGAAGGATAATACCTTTACTTAAGGTTTTAAATGCATGCATTTTTCCCTCAATGTGCTAATAGTAGTTACTGAAAGTATTTTAAGTAACTCATATTTCTTTCACCAGTTACTTTTTCATAGCGCTACACAATTAGTGCTTTCCTCATTTGCTTAAATCAGAGCAGAGCCCTGTACTGCAGGATAAAGCTGCACCTCTTATAAGTGTATTCGTTGGCAGCCACAGAACCATCACTTGCTATTTTGTTTGAATAAAAGTCCCGCGCTATGAATTCTGGGATAGGGTGGGCTATCCCATCTCGTGTATGCTTCATTTGCCGGAGAGACTGAGGACTGGGACACCGCGAGCTTGTGTGCTAGTGCTGGGGATTTTCACGAGCAGTTACATCGACACGCCAGAAGGTGGAGACAGTCTGCGTTTATGAGGCGATGAAACTGATTCATTGTAAAACACTGCTGCTACACTTGCTGAACCTCCTTCATCAGCATTCAGAATCTGCATGCTAGAACTATAAGCAGTGTTGGGAAGTAACTAGTTACACCTAACTAAATTACATTTACAAAATAAATGTCATTGTAATCAGTCACAGTTACTGAGAGTGTCATTAAATTACAGTAACTTATGATTACAAAGAGGGTTACATCTGAATATTTTTCAGAGCAGAGCCCTGTACTGCAGGATAAAGCTGCACCTCTTATAAGTGTATTCGTTGGCAGCCACAGAACCATCACTTGCTATTTTGTTTGAATAAAAGTCCCGCGCTATGAATTCTGGGATAGGGTGGGCTATCCCATCTCGTGTATGCTTCATTTGCCGGAGAGACTGAGGACTGGGACACCGCGAGCTTGTGTGCTAGTGCTGGGGATTTTCACGAGCAGTTACATCGACACGCCAGAAGGTGGAGACAGTCTGCGTTTATGAGGCGATGAAACTGATTCATTGTAAAACACTGCTGCTACACTTGCTGAACCTCCTTCATCAGCATTCAGAATCTGCATGCTAGAACTATAAGCAGTGTTGGGAAGTAACTAGTTACACCTAACTAAATTACATTTACAAAATAAATGTCATTGTAATCAGTCACAGTTACTGAGAGTGTCATTAAATTACAGTTACTTATGATTACAAAGAGGGTTACATCTGAATATTTTTCACACACACACACACACAGATTTAATTGATTTCTTATATATAATATACTCAGTATTATATACAGTATAAAGAAACCTCTTCTTCATCTGTTTATTTTAAAACCAATTGTTGGAGAAAATGAAAACAGAAAGGATTATTTTACAGAAGACGTATAAAGGCCGATCTGATCTGGTGTTCTAGCGCGTGTTGGGGATGGAGTCGATATTTAATCGATATTTATTTCCTGACTCGATGCGCATTTGCTGCGGAGTGCTGCACTGTGTGAACACGAGAGGTCTGTCTGCAACAGCGTTAGAGATGTGATCTCAGTGCAGATGCTGTGGCGCAGGGTTAGTGTGCTGCTCTGCTGTTTCTCAGTCGCTCTTTCAATCCTGGAGACCGTCTAACATGTCTACGAAGGCAGAGCAATGTGAGTATGACGACGCGTGCTGCTGTGTGATTTATGGAATATAACCGAGTACTGTGTGAATGAAGCTGTGTGCTCGAGGGAAGAGACACATCTGCGCGTAAAGAGATGCACACTGCACGATGTCAGAGCTTCACGATAACAGCCGACGGTGAGATCGTAGATTGAGATCATGTGTTGCAGAAGACAGAAGACAGAAGATGGGATGTATTCTTTTCAAGGTCGAATAGACAAGTCACCCCTGCAGAAAAGCAGAAGCTCGACCTGCATGAGTGTGATCATCTAATCACAGGAGCGCAGTGGTATTTGGGTAAATCAGGGAATGGTGGATGGTGTCTGTGATGGGGTCAGTGCTGTCTGTGCTCTTTGGTAGAGGGCGCCATTTGCTTTCTACCGTCGGTTTTACTGACCAGCAGACTGTCCACCTCAAAACACGCTTTCATGTAATTATAGCACATTATAAAATAACTGTGATCCTTTGCCTGATCATTCTTTGCGCTCTCCAGTGGCTGCTGAGCTCCAGACACCCGGTCCTCACAGGACACAGTGCCCAGCAGGCACAGAACGCTCCCCTAACCTCAGTCTTTGGAGCCAGTTTGGTGATTTTTTGGGAACCAGATACTAACGTTAAAGGAACGTCCTTTTTAGGTTATTTCTTTTGTAACCATAAAATAGCGAATGTTGCAGGGTGGTTATTATTAAATAACCTACAAATAGCTTATAAAGAACGTTCCCTAATGATTAGATTTAGGTTATTTTTTATAACACAGTAAAAATATCTTTCCACTGAAAACGTTCTAGTTTTTTGTGTAATGACCTATAATTCGTTTAATGCAGCATTTATCAAAATACAGAAAACGTTTTAAATTATAATATTAAGTCAGGGTTAAGCATAGAGTGATGACAGAAATCATAACTTCGTGGACTTGTTTCATCTTCATTTACTGCCCGCGCTTCTCCAGCACGTGCTTTCAAGTCAAGTCACCTTTATTTATATAGTGCTTAACAATACAGATCGTGTCAAAGCAACTGAACAGCATTAAATAGGAAAATAGTGCGTCAATAATGCAAAGTGACAATAGCAAACACACAATTTTCAGTTAAATGCAGTTCATCATTGAATTAAATGATGTCATCATCCAGCTCAGTTCAGTTTAAATAGTATCTGTGCAATCAAGTCGACGATATCGCTGGAAATGAAGTGTCCCCAACTAAGCAAGCCAGAGGAACCAAAACTCCATCGGTGACAGAATGGAGAAAAAACCTTGGGAGAAACCAGGCTCAGTCGGGGGCCAGTTCTCCTCTGACCAGACGAACCAGCAGTTCAGTTCCAGGCTGCAGCAAAGTCAGATTGTGCAGAGGACTTGTCTGGTTGCTGTGGTCTTGTCCCGGTGGCCGTCTGAGACAAGGTCTTTACAGGGGATCTGTATCTGGGGCTCATCTAGTTGTCCTGGTCTCCGCTGTCTTTCAGGGCTGTGGAGGTCCTCTCTAGGTGCTGATCCACCATCTGGTCTGAATACGTACTGGATCCGGGTGACACACGGAATTTAAAGATTAACGATCATTTCATTTTACTGGCTGACTGACTCGCTCGTTTATTGATCTATTTATTGAATGATTACTTAAAATGAATATAGTTATGAGAGTAAATATTATTTTGGAGGGATTTGACATGCTTAACTGAAGAGAACATGATGTTTTTGTTTACGGATCAAAAAAAGAACTTTCTGGGAACCAAAAACTGTTAGCTGGGTGTGCTGCGTGTTGAACACCACAATATCTGTGGTCAATAACACTGATCTAATGTAGGCCTAGTCTAAAAAATAAGACTTTATAACTGATTGTATGTCATGCTAAAATGTAGATGAGCATTTAGTCTATAATCTTAGCAGTCACTGAGGGTTTATACAGGTTTATGTAGGTCTGGCGAAACTGTGAAAACAGTCCGTCGTAAGATTACAAGATCCTGCAGCAACGCACTGTAAAAACTGCACATAATATAAAAGGTCAAATGGTAAAAAGAAATGTTCATAATATAAATAAAATTGTGAGCACATATAATGTAACTTTTTTGCATACTGTAATAGGTTGTGATTATGTTATGGACTCATTATGGTAACTTGTAATAACAAAAGCATAATTTATAACTGCATAATCTAATGAATTGCATACAATAAACAAAGCTAACAAAATACTTAAAACATTTTGTATTTCTTTACAATAGTCCATAATTTAATTTCTCTGTGCTCATTACTTAAGGAAAGCTATTTTTCTTTATGCAGAATTTTGACCTTTTTTAAGCATTTGAAATGACTAATAATCAAAAACATTCTGTTGCCTTTAACTCAGACTTTAGTTGTGAAAATCTGTCTTCTAAACCTGTCTTCATCATAGTAAGCTTAACTTACATTTGGGATTTGGGAAGACTCAGAATATATGGTCAATATGGACTACGGTTATGACATTAAACTGTCATAAGTGTGATAATCGTTGTCCAGGTTATGACACTTTTATGACCGTTTAATGTCGTTTTGGAGCTTGACAGACCCAGTCTCTGTTCACTCTCATTATATAGGAAACAGACATGCAGATATTCACACGGATTTTTAACAGAATGATTCTTTTGAGCTATTTGTTTCAATGAATTGGTTCATTGATTCAACTGTTGCCACAATCATGAAACAAACATTTTGTTGTTGTTTTTTCATTTATTCATTATATGCTACTCCAGATCCATAATTTTCCTTTATGAAGTGGTGAAGTCTGCTGCTGACAGCTCTGAGTTAGATCACTTCTCTCTTCCTCAGAAATGTCTGATGTTATTTTATTTTCTCATTGTAAGACATGATGAGAGTTAAAAATAGACGCAACACATGGTTACCCAGCATGAGAAATAAGAGAAGTGGGTTCCAGGAGTCATTGTGATCCGGCCGTCCAAACACGCTGTTCTGTGACACATCTGAGCTCCAGCGGTTCGGTCACTGCGTTCATTTGTCCATCTGACAATCCAGACTGTCTGGTGTGGAAAACTCACTCGAAATGAGAGCAAGTTAGAAAACCTGTCTCGTTTCAGCTGTAATGTCAGTTTCAGAGAGATGATCATTTACTGATTTCTTCATCAAACAGCACACAGCAGCAGCAGCAGTGGATTGTTGAATATTCTGAAATGTTAATTATGTCACTTTGCTCTTTATTTGTTTAGTTGGCTCTAAGATTCGATACTTGCAAGAGTATCACAACCGTGTGCTTCACAATATTTACCCAGTGCCATCGGGAACAGACATTGCAAACACTCTGAAATACTTTTCCCAGACGCTGCTCAGGTAAGTGCACTACACTGGAAATAGGTGATACACTGCTAATGTTGCATTCTAATGATAGGCAGGCCTAGTTTCATTATTACAAAGCAGATAAATATAGCATCTATCTAAATCTGAGAATTTCAACAGCCACCAAGACATTAGAGCTCTGTATTATAATCAGATATATGCAGTAACATCATGCATGCCAAAAGTACACATTTTGAATAAATTCAGGGAAGTCCTGATTTGAATATTGTTTTTGTTTGTCTTTTAAATGTCAGTAGCTTTATGAAATACAGTTGACTTATAGTTAGACTCATGAGTTCATGTTATGTGTAAGAGCTCTTCTTCATGTTCACGTGTCAACAGAAACAGTTTAATAAAGGTGCATGCGCTCAAAACATGCTTGAAGAAGAAATTTTAGCGTCTGAGAGCAGTATGTAGTTGTGTGCTTTTGTTATTCCTGTTATGTTTATGTTTACTGTATCAGTGTTTGTGTGTTAAAGGGTCCTTTTGTCATTAAGAGTTGATAGCGATATTGTACTGATAATGATAATGTACTGCCAGTGATATGAAATACTGGATTTCCATAGTGTTCAGTGGGTTTGAAATGTTTAGTTTAGTTAGAAATATAGTTTTTCTTGTCGAGAACGCTGTTCATGTAGCATTCTGCAGCTGAACCACCTCTCATTCCCAGCCAAACAGGGCTGACATGTGTAGCTTTGATAAGAGACAGTGTGAGAAATACTACACCATCCTGTTGTATGTAACGCACATCCAACTATGTTCTCCCTCCAAGACCATCACAGACCAAATTACTGCTGAGGTAGAAGTTGACAGGGGACAGCAGACACAAGCGCCCTCCACATCCCTCCACGAACATGAGGCATTGCTTTCGAAACCAGTGTATTCCTTTTCCATTACAGATTTCCCCAGCCGTAGACTAGTGACATTTCTGTTAGAACTGAAATCCATATGCCTGTCGAACCATTATTTCTCTTCCCCTAAATGATACTGAGGCAGTATCATAATGTATTTACATACAGACATTCTTTTTGACGGTGCAATAAACATGTGTTGTGACCAGGGAGCTTTTAGTCTAACCTCACATACATGTTTATTACTGGCTGAAGCATGTTTCTGAAGTGTCATCTCTGTATCGTCCTCAAAACGAATTATTTTGAGATTGCTCTCATCTCTGACAGCCCCTCCATTGCTCAATATTTCCCATGTGGCTCTTTAGCCTCCTGATCGGCCCGTGCCGCCCGTCCTCCGGGGATTGGCCGCTCGGAGGGCGCGGCGCGTGCGCCTCAAAGCTCGTTCCTCTGGCGAAGTACGGGGCTGCCACTGAAAACATGCCATTTTTTATATTTTTGCTCCTTGTCACCAGATACGCATGAGATGCAGTGATCGTCACGTGCTTCGCAAGCGCAAGCCTCCTTGATTTCGATCCAAACCAAAAGCCAGCTTTTCAAATGCATAGATGATGATGGCACATCTAAAGCAAATTCCAAAGTCTGTGGAGACACTGCATCCTATGTGGGGAATATCTGGGTTTGGTTCTTTTCTACTTACGCTGTCTCTGTAGAGCCATTTCAATGTAATGTGCTGTTTCTTTGTGTCTTTGTTGTCTCTTTTTTTCCCCTGTTCCCCCCCCACCCCTCCCTCGGAGCAGCATCCTGTCCCGTACAGGCAGAAAGGAGAGCCAGGAAGCTTCCAATTTGGCCGTGCCCATGACCATGTGTCTTTTTCCTGTGCCATTCCCACTCACCCCATCTCTAAGACCACAAGTCAGTTCCATCAACCCTACAGTTACTCGATCCCTCCTTTACAGCGTTCTGCGGGACGCCCCGGCCGACCGGGGTGGTGCCACCCAGCAGAGTCGGGAGGTTCAGATCTCAGATTACCCCTCACTGGACTATCAGGGGCTCTATGCCACCCTCGTCACCTTGCTTGACCTGGTGCCCCTGCTGCAGCACGGTCAGCACGGTGAGTCCTGCGCCACCTCACTCCCGGAGACACATTTCTGAGTGTATCAGAGGAGAGAGAAAATCACACTGATTGTAAAGTACGTTGCTCAAAATAAGAATTATTGCTAGATGGACGTTGATTTCCAGCCAAACAAATTCGCTCAGTCTTCTACGAATCAGTTCCAGTATGGCGCACTTGCCGTTGGTGCCTGACGTTCACCCAGAAATCATTCTGTCATCTTTTACTCACCTTCATGTTGTTTTTCAGCTGTGGAACATAAAAAAAGATATTCTAAGAAATGTCTCAGAAAAGTCAGTTGATGTCTTCTGGTTTGGAAGCACATGAGGAGAGTAAATACTGACAGAATGACCATTTTTTGGTGAACTCTGATCTCTTTGAGATCCTCTGTGTGTTTCTCATGAAATGAAAATAATCTAAAATAGAGAATATTGCTGCTGCTTAGCCAATATTTGACCATTTTGAGATATCGGCAGGAATCGCTCATTCCGTCTAGTGGCCGTTATCAATAAAAAGTGCTCTTTTCCTGACAGCTGTCAGCCAGCTTTATTTCTCCTATCTGCTGGCAGCTAAATAAACTATGCTTTCGTGTCATTCACCATAAAGAGCTTTGACTGGATAACAACGTTATCAATGTAGAGTAACATATAGTATGCTAGTATTTCATTATGTAGGATGCATTCTGAAGAAAACGCAAAGCTTTAAATGTCATTGAACTGTTCAGAGATGAGTTGGTAAAGCTGCATAAATCTCTAGAGGACATGGTGCTCATCTCGTTCATCTGCTTGACTTTCAGATCTGGGACAGGCCATATTTTACACCACAACATGCCTTCTGCCTTTCCTTAGTGATGATATTCTCAGCACTTTACCCTACACCATGATCTCCACTTTAGCCACCTTCCCTCCTTTCCTGCACAAAGACATCATAGAGTACCTGAGCACATCCTTCCTGCCCATGGCCATTTGTGAGTATACTAACTATTTATGTGACTATGAGAGATGTTTCTTCAAAGTAACCTCTCGAAGTATTCCAGCAACCACTTTGTGCTTCCAGTAGAGCACACTGCTGATTTGATTATAAATGCAACATTATGTGACAATCGTGCACTATGAAGCAAGAAAATTATTTTTGTGTTGCAGTGGGTTCGACTCGAAGAGAGGGTGGCATTCCAGCATATGTCAATCTGTCTGCCTCCTCCATGCTGATGATCGCCATGCAGTACACTTCAAATCCAGGTACATACACATTTATCAGGCTGCAAGAAAGTTACTTCTATAGTCAGTCACTGATTGTTATTTGCAGAAGACTCTAGCATAGTGTAGCTTTTTCAGTACAGTGTGGATTATGGGCTCTAAATGTTTCTCTGGTTGTCTTTAGTGTACCACTGTCAGCTTTTGGAGTGTCTCATGAAATATAAGCAGGAAGTATGGAAGGTATGCTTCAGTTCTTCATGTCTTTTTGGAGATTTTTCCAAAAGCACCTATCACTTACACTGATCACTACGATTTTAAAGGATCTTCTGTACGTCATATCCTATGGCCCGTCCCAAGTCAAACCTCCAGCTGTTCAAATGCTCTTCCATTACTGGCCCAACCTGAAGCCTCCTGGTGCCATCAGTGAGTACAGAGGCCTGCAGTACACAGGTGAGATGTTTGATTAATTTCTCCAAACCACTGCTTTCAAATGGTTGGTTTCAATGAACAAGGTCAAAGCAGTAACATCAACACGTATTTCTGACATCTCAGCATTGTGGTTTACATGCTCAAACACATTTGGAAAAAGTCATATGTAGGCATGTACCTGTACTGTGAATTATGCTTTCAGTTATATTAATTTGGGTTTTTTATTGTCATCAATGTTTCATTCAGTAAATGTGTGACAGGCTAGTATTGATTAGGTCTAAATTAGGTGTTACTATTTTACAAATAGATTAGGAACATCTCGAGTTACTTGTCTTTAATCTTGTTCCCTGAAAAAGGGGAAGCACCTTCAGGTTAGACCTTTGTCTGAAGAGACGACTAGACATGCCCACAGTGCGGCAATTAGGTTCAGCATTTTGTTCCCACTTTTTCAGGGAACAGGGTTACAGTCAAGTAACCTGAGATGTTCCCTATCAAAAGTTACACTTGATGCTACATTTCATAACACTAATGGGAACGAGAATACCAACTCTGGCACACTGGAAAGTGTCTGAACCCCTCAAGGTTGTGTACTGTAGAGTGTGCACACAAACATTGGAGAGGTCACAGACATGTCCTTGGGATGTTGACTCAAGTACATGCGAGCCCGGAGTAGCATGAACATCTAAACTATAGAACCTGATGAACGTGTGCGGGGAGGACCAGACTGCTGCATCACATACTTGCTGCAAGGGGGCACCTCTTGCCAAAGTCTTGGAGTGTGCAAATCCTCTTAGTAGAATGGGCCCTTACTCCTGGAGGTGAAGATTGACCATGCGCCTCAAAAGCTAGGGCAATAGCATCTTTAACCCAGTATGACATTGTTTGCCTAGTGGCATCCATCCCCTAGTTACGGCTCCCATAGCATATGAAAAGATGCTCTGACCTAAGCCACTGGCTGGTGCAGTGGACATAAATCTGAAGGGCATGGACTGGACACAGTAAGTGAAGTCTTTCCTGATCTAGTGTAATGAATAGCAGAGCACAGAATGCTTCAAGAATGACTGGATGCATGGTCGAGAATGGAACTTCAGGAAGATAATCAGAGCGTGGGTGCAAAATAGTCCAGGGGCAAAATTTAAGCAGGATGACGAAAATCCCCAATTCTCTTTAGATAAGTAATTGCCATGAGAAAAACCATCTTTACAGTCAGACGCTTGACAGTCGCTGACTCTAGTTGTTCAAAAGTCAAACCAGAACCTCAAGCTCTACACCACAAGTCCCACAAAGGAACTATCACTCTGCTGGGTGGCCTCAACCACTTCACAATTGCTTTACAAATGAAGTGAGCGACTAGAGGGTGATTTCCTACAGGGTCCCCATCAATCAGATCATGGCAAGCAGAAATGGCAGCCACAAAGGCTCTGAGAGTAGCAGGACATGCACCTGCAGGCAGTCTTGCAGGAATTCCAGCACTGAAACAACTTGGGAGTGGACTGGGTCTGCACAGTGGATCTTTCAAAAACACACCATTTGAAGGCATAACTTCTTCTAGTGAAGGGAGCCTTAGCACTTAGAATAGTTTCCACTGCACCAGCTAAAAGAACAGAATCTCTTAGTTGGTTTCAATGCTCGGGCCAGGGATGAAATATTGTCCCCTGTGCCTGAGATAAAAGGTATCTCCTGATCAGAATCGCCCACTGCCATCAAGGAGGGATATTAGTTTTGAGAGCCAAACTCTGGTCGACCAAGAGGCAAGACCCTTGTTGACTGACCTTGGCCTGGACTCCCAGGGGCAGGGCAAAGACACAGTCTGGGTACATATGGGCCATCCCACCCAGATCCAAGGGATCTGGAGGAGTTAGAGAGAAGTAGAGGGGACATTGTGCTGTCTCCTGCCAGGCAAAGAGGTCCACCTCTGCTTCTTAAACTTTTCCCAAATTTGTTTGACTACTTCGGGGTGAAGTTTCTATTCCCTGTGTGCCACAGCCTGTCTGGATAGCAAGTCTGCTCCCACATTGATATGCCCTGGAATGTAAATCGCCCTGAGGTACAGGAATTTGTCTTGAGCCCAAAACAGAAGCTGCTGCGTTAACCTGTTCAGGTGGCACAAACGCAGTAGACTACTGCAGTATTGTCCGCCTGCACTAGGAAATGATAGCCCTTTAACTGCTGGAGGAATTATTTCAGGGTCAGATATACAGCCATCATTTCCAAGCAACTGGTTTGCAAATCAAGACATCTCCAGATCCTTTTGGCTGAATGGTCATCTAAGACTGCACACCAGCCAGTGCAAGAAGCGTCTGTCATTAATGTCTTGCAACGACAACACGCACCTAGAGTGGGACCCAAGGTATGAAACCGGGGTCTGAACCACATAGAAAGGGTACGAAGTGTGTAGCGTGTAACCCTTATCTGCCCCTGGGGATTGGCCCTGGATGAAATCCTGTGGCTCTGAGCCACAACTGAAATGATCTCATATGCACAAGGCCCAAATTTATCACAGTGGATGCAGCTGCCATGAGACCTAGAAAAGTAACCTTTCCTGACCTAGCCTGATGTATTTCAGTGTGTTTAAAATAGATTCAACATGTGCAGGAGACAACTTTGCCTGGATTGTGATCGAATTAAATACGTTGTCTTCTGGGCAGGAGAGAGAATGTTTTACTTGGCATTGAGCCTCAACCCCAGAGACTTCAGATAAGCGAAGATGACATCCCAGTGTCGAAGTGCAAGCTCTTGAGACTGAGCCAGTTGCCAGAATCAGCCAGTCGTCTATGTAATTTAAAATACGGATGCCTTGGAGTTGCAAAGGAGCCAGTGCTGCCTCCATATATTTCATTTATATGCGAGGTGATAAGGATAGCTCAAACAGAAAAGCTACTGGTAAGCTTCACCCCCAAAAGTGAACCTCAGCAACTTCCTGTGTTCTGGCAAAATTTCTATATCAAAATATGTGTCCTTGAGATCGATTGTCACGAACCAATCCCAGGATTGGATTTGAGATACAATCATTTTGATTGTTAGCATTTTGAACTTGTATGTTCTGAAAAAGAGGTTCAAATGGCAATCTAAAATTGGATGCAACCACCCATCTTTCTTGGGAACCAAAAAGTGCAGACTGTAATAGCCCGACTCTCTGACTGGGAGGGTAACATGTTCTATGGCCCCTTTGTCCAGCAGAGTTTGCAACTTGTGTCTTGTGTTCACAGTAGTGGAGACCATGCTGCTACAACGTGGAGCATTGTATGCAAAGTGTATCCTTTATCCTCTTTCTACAGTCTTTATGACCCAAGGAGAGATATTTGGCAGTAGTTTCCATGCTGCCAACTTCTCTGAAAGGGACACTAGTTTTGACTGTTTGTTTTGCTGGGGGGATGTTAAATGTTTGGTGATCTGAAACATTTGCTGAAAGCATGTAACATTTTGCTGGAGATCATACTTTGAACACTGGTGGTGGTCGGAGATTGGACACTGATCCCCTGAGGGTGCCAGGAAAGAGCTCTTTTCTACAAATGATTGTAGAAGCAGACAAATTGTCGGACGCGTTCGAGAGAGGTTCACTGATTGACTGACAGTTTTGACTGGAGATGCAACTGTCCAATCTGATTCAGTCTGATTTGGTGAACCGGTTGAAAGATTCACAGAAAAAAACTGTTCAAAATAACAATATGCATACAGACTGGAAATCACTGCTCAGTGGCTTGAGACAGACCTTCTCCTGAAATGTACACATTATTTGTCTGTTTTGTTCTTTATATCCCAGCCTGGAACCCCATTCACTGCCAACACCTCGAGTGTCACAACTCTATTAATAAGCCAGCGGTGAAGGTACTGTAACTCTTTACCTCTTAGATTCTTTAATGTAGGTTTTGTATTTTTATTTGCTTTGTAGTCTAGTCAAAAATGTTGTGGATTTTGTTGGATTGTGGGATTTTTTTAGGGAGCAAACATTTCAGTGCACTGCAAGGATTTTGTGATTGAGACAAGAACTTCAAAATAAAAACATGCAAATGCCCAGAATCATTTAAAAAATATTCCCCAGGTACTGATTCATTGTTTTTATCCCTGCAAATATTTGCTCTGTGTAATAAAACATAGAAACAGAGCAGGAAGAGACATGCTGTAACTCAATTACCAGGAGCTCATGAGGAACTGATGACCTTGTTACCGCTCTAGTCAAACACTGAGACACTGAGACCAGTGCATGCACTATATGGTGTTTATTTTAGATGTTAAAAACCAACCGTTTAATGTCAGATCTGGTAAGCTGTCAGAGAGTTAAAATAATTATTATGATTATTATGAAACCCGAAATGATGGTTTGCCCTGAGATGCCTATAATAATACTGTGATACTTATGGTCATTGGTCACTTGACTCAAGCAATATCTCATTTACACAACACTAAAACTGAGAAAAAGATAAAAGATTGACTAAATGAAATAGTTATGCAAAATACCCTTAAAAACAGCTCTTGTTGTATTTGTAGTTTAATACATTGTCCATTATTAGCAATAAGACACATTTAGAGGGTGTTTGAGGGTCCAGTGGTTGTGTGATTGTGACTGTGTCTCCGTGCTGCTTTCAGATGTGTATTGATCCAACACTCTCGGTCGCGCTGGGTGACAAACCTCCACCGTTATACATCTGTGAGGAGTGCAGCCAGAGGATGGCTGGGTAAGCTGTATTATTTCAGCATGCAGTTCATTGTGTGTCTGCTGCATTACTGCGGTGAATATCCAGATTCATCTGCTCAGCCTTCAACTGTCAATCTCATCTTAAAGGGGTCATGACAACCTGTTAATAAAATCCATTTATAATCTATAATTGCGTTTAATGAGGAAAGCCCACAATTTTATTGTGTTTCTTTCACAGCGATCATGCTGAGTGGCTCGTTGATGTGCTTTTACCACAAGGTCAGTGACACGTCCTCATTTTAGTACTAAAACTACACACACTCATGTATTTACTTAAAGGAATAGTTCACCCAAAAATGATCATTCTGTCATCCTTCACAATAAGCTTTAATTTGATATGATTAGTTAGTGCATTAGGTATTATGAACTATCAATCAACGACTTTTTACAGCATTTATTAATCTAGATTAATGCTATAATATAAATGAATTATTGTTGTTTCATATTTGTTCATAAAGGTAAATTTATGCTTGAAATGCTAGAATGATTTAGTATATATAGAAAATAACATTACCCCAGTTGAATAAATGCTGTAAAAGGGCAGTTCATTGTTAGTTCATAGTAAAGCTAACATGTTATCTTATTCATGTCTTGTAGTATAACAATAACCCTCATGATTTCATCCTAACAGCTGAGATTTCTGCTATATGTCAGAAGAAGGTAAGCCTGGTGCGAGGGAATATGCTTGTGTTGTCCTGTGTGTGTGTGTGTTTGGTCACGTGTGTCCATGTCATCATTTTTAATACATCCATTATCAGCTCATCTGTGAACTAGAGCTGGTTTCTGTCTCCTGCTCCGCTCTTTCCCCTGCAGCCCATCAGATTAAAATATCCACTCTGCCATTGTTACTGAGTTTCTGAAGTGAGTGCAAAAAACATTACAGGGAGCAAACGCTCCGTCCCACTCACATTACGCGTGTTTGTGTCTCTCTCCATCACAGAACTGCAGCTCTCACGTCAGGCGCGCCGTCGTCACCTGCTTCTCAGCGGGATGCTGCGGTCGCCACGGCAACCGGCCTGTGCGCTACTGCAAGCGTTGTCATGTCAACCACCACAGCAGCGAGGTGGGGGCATCAGCGGAGACGCATCTGTACCAGACGTCTCCTCCGCCCATCAACACGCGCGAGTGCGGCGCGGAGGAGCTGGTGTGCACCGTGGAGGCGGTCATCAGGTGCAGACAAACACACTCAGTACCTGCTCTCTTCATAAAGAGAAAACCACCAGGTCTAAAGACTGCAGTAAAAATACTCTTGACAAACAGTTTTTAGTTTACTTGAATGTGAATAAGGCACATTAGATATAAAATACTAATACACTGGCAGCCAAAAGTTTGGAATAAAGATTTTTAATTGTCTTTTATTCTCACTAAAGCTGCATTTATCTGAACTGAAATACAGTAAAAACAGTAATATTGCGAATAATTATTTAAAGGGTTAGTTCACCCAAAAATGAAAATTATCCTGTTATTTACTCACCCTCAAGCCATCCTAGGTGTATATGACTTTCTTCTTTCAGACGAATCCAATCAGAGTTATATTAAAATTGTCCTGGCACTTCTAAGCGCTATCATTGCAGTGGGTGGGTGTTTCTCTTTAACAGTCCAAAACACGTTAAATAAAGCGCGCGCATCCGTAATAAAATGTGCCTCACACGGCTCCGGGGCATGAATAAAGGCCTCCTGTAGCGAATCCCTTCGTTTTTGTAAGACAAATATCCATATTTCAAACATAATAAACACTTTTCTATCACTTTCGCGATCTGTCATATGCAGAAGCAGGCGGATGACGTAGGACGTCGGCGTTGCGTGATTAGTGACTTCTTTTTTTTAACGGCGGTTGACATCCATCTTATTGGTGCATTACCTCCCCCTTCTGTTCCGGAGTGTGGATCAGTAAGTAAGTTCACAATATATTTCTACTTTAAATTAGGGATAGAGGGGGAAGAGGGGGGAAAAAACAACCTTCCAAAAAAAACAATAATTACCCTTCCTTACCATCATATCCTATAATAAAGCCCAGTTCCCTTAAAAAAAACGAATAGTTCTCTCACCTGTGCTCTATCACTCATACCTAGGGTTGTTTTTAAAGTAAGTTTCTGCACCCCTACCTCCTTCAGATTAGTTTCCATTATCTCTCTCTGCCTCTGGTATCTCCTACAGTGTAGAATTACATGCTCCACTGATTCCTCTTCCTGACACTCCTCACACAGACCCGTCTGATGTTTCCCTACCATTTCTAATGTTTTATTTAGATCACAATGTCCCAGCCTTAATCTTGTTAATACAATTTCCTCTTTCCTGTTTCCAGTGTGATTAGTGACGAACACGGAGAGAGAACAAAACAAAACGCCAGTCATGAATTAGAAGTACAAACCGAGGATTTGTAAAGAAAAATGTCGGAGGATTTCAATATAAGCTAAGAGGAGACTGGTTTTCCTTTGCTTCCTTTGCTCCTGTAAACAAACTCACAAGCAACAGAAGTGAGAGAAAAGTGTTTATTATATTTGAAATGTGGATATTTTTCTTACAAAACCGCATTAAATCACTACAGGAGGCCTTTATTCATGCCCGGAGCCGTGTGAGGCACATTTTATTACGGATGCGCGTGCTTTATTTAACGTGTTTTGGACTGTTAAAGAGAAACACCCACCCACTGCAATGATAGCGCTTAGAAGTGCCAGGACAATTTTAATATAACTCTGATTGGATTCGTCTGAAAGAAGAAAGTCATATACACCTAGGATGGCTTGAGGGTGAGTAAATAGGCTACTTTTCATTTTTGGGTGAACTAACCCTTCAAAGGGGTCATATGATGCGATTTCAAGCTTTCCTTTCTCTTTGGAGTGTTACAAGCTCTTGGTGCATCCGACGTGTGCTTGTGGTGTTAATAACAATGCACTGGGTCAGCTGGCCAATCAGAGCAGACTGCGCTTGTCAAAGGAGGGGCTTTGTTGAAAACGAAGCGTTTGAGAGAAGCGGGGCATAGAGGACCTACAATAATGTACAGTATTTGAAAAATGTCAAGTATGTAAAGCATGTCAACATATTCTGTTACACCAAATACACAAAATAGCGTCATATGACCCCTTTAAGTTTAAAATAGATGTTTTCTATGTGAAAATATTATAATAATTTATCTATTCATTTATTTTCAAAGCTGAATTTTCAGCATCATTACTCCAGTCTTCAGTGTCACAAGATCCTTCAGAAATCATTCTAATATTCTGATTCACTCTTTTGGCATGGCTCAGTTTGAAAAACATATGTTAATATGAAACGAGCATTAATCAGTGTAATGTGATGTCACTGTCGCCCGCCGCAGTCTGCTGAAAGAGGCTGAGATCCACGCGGAGCTGCGGGAGTTTGATTGGTTTTGCATTTAAATAATTTCTGTGCGTATTATTTCTCTCCAAACCGGCTCTCTTTGTGTGTGTCGCTGAGTTTACGCGTTGAAATGAGGAAACTCCTACCGTTTATAAGGAGCATTTGAAAAAGCAACACATGCCAAACATCTTCCCTTCTAATGATTTGTAACGAGAAGCATTTCTGAACCTGTTGTCCAACAAAAGTGAACATTATAACATACTCCTCTGTCAGGGTTCAGGTGTAGGGATGAGACGAGGACTCAATTCCAAGAAGAGTTGGGCTTTTTATTAATAATCGAATGAAAACAAACAAAAACTACACCATAGCGGAAACAGACTGGCAACTTGACTGGCTGGCAGGACAAGAACAGGCTGGAAGCAGGCAAGAACAAGACGGGAACATTCAACAACAAACTGGCATAGGACTGCAAACGCAAGGAGAATAAATGGGGAGCAAATGAGGAGGGTAACGAGGGACAACAGGTGGGGCAAATGAACCAATGAACAGGTAACAAGGTGGGCAGGGTTAGACAATAGACATGAGAGCACATGGCACATGGACACAAACAAGAAAAAGCCATATGCTCATACAAAACAAAAACACAAGCACATGACCAGCAAAACAATCACAAGCCATGTGCTTGAACAAAACAAAACAAGCAGCCAAAGAGAATACTCATAAGCGGCGGGTTCACACAAAACATGACAACATGAAAGCACGCAGCCGATAAAAACAGAAATTGCATGCAACAAAATAAGACGACGAGAAAGCACACAGCCGAACACGAACCATGTGGTAAACAAAACAAAACAAAACGCATGCGGACAGAAGAGTGATCTCGAGACTGCACGCTCCCTCAGCAAAACAGAACATGGAGCGCGAGTGTCCGAACCCCGACACCAAACCGAAACTGAACAAGACATAAGTGCAGGGATCCGAACACCACGCTCCAATATGAAACAAGGGAACAGGGCACGCAGACGAGAGACCGCACGCTCACACAAGGACAAGACAACACAGGAGTCCAGGGCTCTGTCACAACACAAACTCTGACACTCCACATCAGACGAATGCTAGAAATAACCTCCTTTTGTGATCTGATGTGCTGTAACCGTCCCGCTGAGCACTCCCAGAAGGGCAAATTACAATTACATTTATAAGGGAGGACTCCACTGACTATTTTTGGTTTAACCAGACCCAGTAACACACAAACCAAGAAGCTGACCACAAAAATACCCTCAAAAAGTCTTTATTTAAGAAATACCACAAAAAAGCCTCATAAAGACACAAACAACAAGTAAGCAAAAGGTCTGTTGCATGAATGTTCTCCTTTGCTTTCAGAATCAGTCCACAAAAATATCCTCAAAAAGTGTTTACATAAGAAATACCAGAAATAAAACCTCATAAAGACACAAACAACAAGTAAGCAAAAGGTCTGTTGCATGAATGTTCTCCTTTGCTTTCAGTATCAGTAAAGAATTACTAAAGAAAAGAGCTTATCTGTTCATTGTCCATTAAGTAGTGCTTTATCCTAGAAAGTCTTTGTCCCTCAGTGAAGATGATGACGATGAGTTGTTAAATTAGTGAGGAGCAAACATCCCAGAATATTTCCTTTCTAGAATGAGCTCCAATTAGCTTTGTTTGAAGATTCCCAGGCGCTACATTAGGGTGCGTTGCAATGACTTTATCCTTATAACACTCCATCATCATCAATCAGTGGAACCAGTCAAACCACCGTTGTTATTGGCATGGGTCACCCCAAATCCCAAATGATAAGCGGAGTAGCATAAGCATTGTAGAATGTCTCATAAATAGGTATTTAGGATGATCAGTTTTGTAGAGGAAGGTAAGAAAAAAGTCCTTCTATATGGAAACATACAAACTAACATTAGCACCAAACACAGTCACATTTAAATAACCCAAATAGGACAAACATTAACCACCAATTACAAGATAAATGCAATGTTAACCACACAAAATGAACAACAAACCACTTACTTGGTTGAGCTTAAAACAATGTTTTCCCAAGCCGGACTCTACACATGAGGTTAGCACAAGAGGAAGCCATGCTTCTCTCCAACCAAACATACGTTTACTCTGCTTTTCCTGACTTTTATCCCAGAGGATCAGTACTCTAGAGAACCCTCTGGAACATGGAAAAGGTTCTACAGTTAGAAAAACCACAGTAACTGCACTGTGGGCGGTTACAGTGCTTCTTATCACAGAATGATGCAGAAATATATTTTTACTGTGCTAAAATATATATAGGCTGTGTCAGTTAGCAGTGCATTATAAATGTTAAATGCCAAGGTGGTTTTAAGAACACAGATAAACAATACATTGTCGCAGTCAAGTGTTTATTGTCTTAAGCCGGGCATACACTGCGATTTTCATCCGATTTTGAGCTGAATTCTGACTTCTGACGAATTCGGGCTGAATTTCAGCTTTGTTGTGCGTCGTTGGTCGAGCAGTGTTTGTGAGGTGTACAGGGGAAACGAGAAGCGATAAGTCTCTCCTGACGGGCAATCGGACGGTTGGATGAATTTCTGACATGTCGCCCCTCGTGGGGGAATCACACAGTTGAAGCAGAGCTACAAACCGACTGCCCTGAACTCAGTGCTTTTTCCCTCTCTACGCCTGTGCGAAAATATAACTTTATTACTGTAGGCTAACAAAGGTCTTATTTTGATGACTGATTATTACAGTGTTCGGACATAGGCTACTTTAGACAGAATTTTATTATAGGCCTATTCATTGTGTAGTATATCTAAATGTTTTAATGTGAGGATCCTGTTCGTGGACTTTAGCTCGGCCTTTAACACGATCATCCCAAACCTCCTCCTGCCCAAACTAACTCAGCTCTCCGTGCCCACCTCAGTCTGTCAGTGGATCAACAGCTTCCTGACAGACAGACAGCAGCTAGTGAGGCTGGGAAAATACACATCCAGCACCCGTACGATCAGCACTGGAGCTCCTCAGGGCTGTGTTCTCTCTCCACTGCTCTTCTCCCTCTACACCAACGACTGCACATCTAAAGACCCCTCTGTCAAGCTCCTGAAGTTTGCAGACGACACCACACTCATCGGCCTCATTCAGGACGGTGATGAGTCTGCTTACAGACAGGAGGTCGAGCAGCTGGCTGTCTGGTGCAGTCTCAACAACCTGG